ATGCTGCATGTCTTCTACTTTGTTTAAGTTCTACATGGAGTAAGCGATGAAAACGTGGAAAAGAAAATGCAGAAACATGGGAAGTCCTCTAAACGGCGCAATATTGTACACATTGAGTTTTGCAGACCACTAGTTAGTAATGGCCCAAGACTATAAAGACCTCGAATAGAGTACGAAATATGGGGACTAGAAGTAAATATTAAGAAAACTGAATACATGTGTATTGGAAGAATTCAACAAAATCTTATCTTGAAAGAAATACAGCGAGATATAAATCACTGTCAAAAATACAAATATTTAGGCATGCAAACAACCAAGGATGGCAAATTAGACGAAGAAATTATATAAACAAATAACTAGAGACACAATCCATTGGGCAACTAAATAATGTACAGTGAGACAAAACAATCTCCAAAGAAAACAAACACAAAATATATAGCAGCATTATAAAAAGCATTGTTACATAAATAAGTAAGGTATGGCCACTAAAAGGAAAAAACTGAAAAGTATTAGAAGCAACAGAAATGGACTTCTAGAGAAGAGCTGGTAGAAAATGAAGATTAGACAGAGTTAGAAAAGAAAGAATACGAGAAATTATGGACGTTAACCACAATATAACAGAGAACATTAGAATAAATCAACTAAGATAGTATGGACACGTCCAAAGAATGGATGAGCACAGAATACCAAAGAAAGTATTGAACTGGACACCGCATGGATGAAGAAAGCAAGGCATACCGAGATTAAGTTTGAAAGAAGGAATCGATCAAGACTTAAGGGAGAGGGAAGTTGAAGAAAACCTTTGTAACGACCGAGAGAAATATGGACTAGAAATCAGAAGACGGCGTAAAAAGTTATAAAATGATTGACTGATTGATGATGAAACTAAATCTAAAAAAATTAAATCTAAAATTACGCAAAACCTAAGATTACAAATTAAATACAAATAGAAAATGTAAAACTACTAGTATCTACTTAAAATAATGTCAACTACTAAAATATCCATCAACAGAATAAAACGTATTATGCAATAAAAAAAATCTTTTAAAGTTAATTTAAATATTTTCATATCCTTACATTTTTTTATTGGCTCGAGTAACTTATTGCAGATGAGTAAAAATGCATATTTTCTTTAGAAAAAGGCACGTGTAATTTTCAATTCTACCTTGTATTTATATTGTGATTTTTTTTTATTGAGTTAATGCCTCGACAACTATGATCATTGGCATGGTACAGTCAGGTAGCTAGTGTAGTGTGTGTGTATGTGTAGAGTAATTGTCTTGATACTTAGCAAAGTCGACGTCATTGTCTTTGCTAAGAGACGCTAATTGTATCCGAACGTCTGCGGTTCCTCCGGTGAATACCGATCGCACATGGATAGAAATTATTTTCATTCATTAATTTTTAATAAACGAAAATTTCTCTACCCAGATGGGATTCGAACTCACGACCTTTAGGTTTAAAGGTAGGCGCTCTTACCACTGAGCACCAGAGGGGGTTATATTGTGAATTTGACTATTAGTTTTATATTTTTCAAGATTTTAATGAATAAAAACACAAACTTCAAAAATATATAAGCACGGCACAGCTAAAAGTTTATATCTAGTAAAATAACTTTTCTCTTTCGAGATAGAAAGAAACTAAATTTACAAGACCTGCCCCAAAATACTATGCCATACCGCAAACGAAACTCCACCTGAACATAATACAGCATTTTTTTTTTGTCTATAATGGCTTTGGCAATTTGCCATACAGCCAGTTACGTGATCTTTTAATTTCATTAGGCACAGTTAAAATTATTTGCAATCGAATAGTCCATAATAGTCCATACAATTAACATGGGTCACTCGCTTCATGTCCAGGGGCCCATCAGGACATTATAATATATACATACACAGAAAAACTAGGCCACGCCTATGGTAAATAGGATTAAACATATAAAGGAGAGCAAACAAAGGTAAAAAGTAGAAACAATTTTTTTTTAACTAAAGAAAAATATTACATTTGGTCAAAAAATCGATTATGCAATAATAAATTAATCTATTTTGGGTCGCTAGGGCAGATAAAACGTTAAATGGAGATTTACGGGTAATATGAACAATATTATTATATAAAACGGTGGATTCCAAATTATATTGGACACAACCAAAAAGTACATGATCTAAGTCGCCTTCTACTCCACATTCCACACAGTTTTTACTCTCAATCACATGAATTCTTGCAAGATGGGCAGAAAAAGAAGCATGTCCAAATTTTAGCCTAGATATAGTGGTTATATAACGCCTAGGAACATTGTAAGTTCTATGCAAATGTGCAACAGGAACAGTTGTGTGTAAAGAAGTGTATCTATTTGGGTTGGTAAAACAAAACTCAGACCATCGATTACTCCATTTATATTTCAAGCCTGCCTTGCGTGTAGCAACCAAATCAGAAATACTGGGTAGATATTCTGTGGTACCCACTGAATGAATACTTAATTTGGCTAGTTGGTCACCATGTTCATATAATACAGCATAATCAGCTATTTTTCACTCAGTATATATTTGAGGTTTTAGCATGCTGAGTTTATTTTTGAAATATTATCATCACATTGCCTTTTCCAATTAAGATATTGAAAAGAAGATATAAAACCCAAAAAGTGAACTTTTGCAATTTGCTTAATATATATTGATAGTTCGATATCTAACAGATGTTTCTGTCTATTGTAAAAATAAATAGCATGCGTTTTATCCGCATTAAGATGTAAGTAGTTTGAGGAAAACCAATAAATAAAATCACACAAGAGTTGGTTACATTTATTTTCAAGAGAAAGATGTGATTTATCTGATATAAGTTTTGAAGTATCCTCTGCATTAAATGTAAACTGTACAGCAGAATTTATTGAGACAATATGATTTAAGTAAATAAGAAATAATATTGGGCCGGTTACAGAACCTTGCGAAACACCCATATGAATGTAAATGTAATCTAAGTTGCAAATATTTTCTGATTTTTGGGATACATCTGTTAAGGAGACATACTGACGACGTTCTGATAGGTAAGATTCTAGCCATTTTAGAAAAAGATCTTTTATTCCAACAGTATCTTATTTATTAATGATTAAGTTATGATCGACACAATCAAGTGCCCTACTGAGATCACAAAAAATCCCGACAGAGCATGTATCCGCATCAATATATTTAGTTAAAGTCTCATAAAATGAATGAACTGCTGTATTTGTAGACTTACCTGCCTGAAAGTCATGCTGATATTTACTAACAATACCGTTCTTCAATAAATAAGAGTTTAATCTGTTAAGATAACAGTATTCGAATATTTTCGAAAACACTGAAGGGACAGTTATTGGGCGATAATTACTAATATCCTTTGGATCACCTTTCTTACGTACAGAAACGACTTTTTCCACCTTTACATATTCCAGGAAAATACCATTGCAAAAAGACAAGTTTATTAGGAATATTAAAGGTGATATTATGAATGGAATTGCTTTTTTTAATAAAAATTGAGGTATTTCATCAAATCCACACGAGATAGAAGATTTAAATTTTTCTATCAATAATTCACTCAGCTCATTTGGAGTGTAAAGACATAATTGTAAAAAAAATTATTTTCGTTAAAAGGCGGTTTCCTTAAAGTACTATTTTGATGACTACTAATTTTAGAACGTACCTCAATTGGAGCATTCTTAAAGAAAACATTGAACATGTTGGCAACAGTAGAGCATTCTTCTATTACACAATTTTCATCTGACTTTAGGCATTATTTTTCCTTCCATCATTGTCAACAAAATAGCAAGAGATAAGTCACCACTCGGCAAAAGTAGTATCGGACGACCGCGCAAAAGATGGAATGACAACCTTCCACAGAGGTAATAATCCGCCAATGAACAAGCAGAATTGCTTATAAAAAGGAAGAAGAAGAAATAGCTTATTTATGTCCCTAAGTACTCTGTCTCCGAAATACCGCAATGATTTTGTTAACTCTGCTGCAATACGTGGATGATGTTTTTGTACCTTTGTGAGAGGTGCTCTCACTTTCTGCTAAGACTTCCTTTATTCATTTTAGACCACTTTATAGTACCAAATGCTAGGAGCGAAAGATGCGGTCATATTTAATTAGTTATACAAATTTGTAAGATTTGCTATTTATATTTATTATTATTATTTTTATTAATATTATAATCTACAACTACAATTAATATTATTATATATTCCTCAATATGACTAATTTTAGTAGTAGTAGTGTTGGATATTATCTATTTATTATCGATTATTAATAAATCAAGTGAATTTATTGAAAAACCGTGCAAGTTCAAATTATAAATAATAACTCAGTAATTTCGATCGTGCTCGTATAATCACGTAACTTTTCTCTAAGCGTGTTCAGCTGGGTTAACGTTATTCCATTAGAATATCAGTAAATTCAGAAACAATGCTAATAAAATAGATAGCATTGTGAGATATCCTCCCTATACAAACAAACATACATATAATATGTTAAAGCTCACTGTAACAATATGATAACATGCATGAAAAGAATTAAAAATTTATCAAATCCCTCATGAAATATACATCACCAGCAAATGTCAAATTATTTTCAGCAAATATGATCTTTTTTTATTCATAATGTAATCAGAAGGAGATGTATGAGTTGTTATACGTGTGTTTTAGAAAATTAGTCTGCACCTTAAAAGCTGTCATGATTTTGATATTTATTAAGTTTGAATGGTCTTACAATAACAAAATTATTTTTGGAACTAATACTTATAAATAAATGAATATTTCATTTCTTTATCAGTAACATGGATTGTTTAGTACAAAGAAGATATTTTTGTAGTCGTACATGATATTCGGGATTTTATAGGCTAGTTTCAAAATTATTTTTTTCCTGATGTTTTGTCTGTAATTACGCCAGACAATATACAAGATCTTCTTCGAGTATTTTCGCTATTTGTTCTAGTCATGTACGTACCAGAATCTTTTGGATGATCCAAATTTGTATTAAAATTTTTTGGTGCATCTAAGTAGAGATTCTTCCTCGTCTTCCTCTTCTTCCTCGTCTTCATCTTCTTCCTCTTCTTTGTCTTCTTCCTCTTCTTCCTTTTCTTCCCCCTCTTTCCCTTTTTTCTCTTCTTCCTTTTCTTCTTCTTCTTCCACGTCTTCCTCTTCTTCCTCTTCTTCCCCTTCTTCACCCTCGAGCTCGTTAACCAAGGCTTCGCAGCTATTGCTCATATCATAAACTTTCGTGGGTAAAGTAAAGGGGTGGTTTCCTGTTGCCCACCCCATTGGTTGGAAATGTTAATAAGGAACTGTGCTTAAGCAAAAGTAGGAGTAAAGGACAGTGGTATCTTCTGTTTGGACTTAGTAGATATACCAATTGTAAGTAGTAGATATAATAAGTAATGTTTAATATTCTATGAGGTTTTATTTTAAGAAAAGTTTTATAATGCTTGGCTTATTAGACGTATATTCTTCAACATAAGTCTATATTTTCCGAACTTTTTCTCTCTTTGTTTGTAGGGTAATGTAATTAATTCTAAACCTCTCTATTTTGTAGAATATTGCCTGTGTCATAAATATTGTTGAAGATTTTACATAGTTTACAAGGGATTTACAATTACTAAAACAATTAAATAATTTTAGGGAATCTACTTTTAGGTATTATTGCACTTAAATACTGGATATATCCCAGAGTACTACTGCAGTGAATCTTTTTTTTTAATCCGAATCTCTACGTCTTATTGTAATATTCGTCAAGATGAACAATTTATTTTAATAAACCGAGAACACAGTATCACCTTAGCTGCATATTTCCTACCTTTTAGATGCATGGAGAAAACGACGAAGATCCAAACGGCTGGTATCATTTCTGTCTGAAAAAAAGTAAAAACTGTGTTATTACTTATTATAGTTGATAATAGCAAAACAAACACCAAAAAACAAATTCTTAACTGTCAAGAAATCGAAGATTTAGCCCAATTTTATAGAATCATAACTTTTTATATGGTGCATGTTTTTGCACATTCTATAACAGCTGCACATAAGTAGAAAGTTTGAGCCTATTTTGACAATTTACTATTAAAAATAAATAAAACGCTTTTTTTATTAGGTTAACAAACAATAAACAAATAGCTTTTCGCCCTTTCAGAATCACGAGCACACTGCGGGCTAGTACATTGTCGACATTACCAGTGCTTTGAGCAGTGTTTAAAATTTTAAAATAGCTACTACTTAAAATTTTCAACACTGTGCAATGTCAACACGTCCTAGCCCGTCATGTGCTTGTGGATTCTGCAATGGCGAAAAGGTATTGGTTTATTTCTTGTGAACTCAATGAAAAAGGAAGTTTCTTTCAGTTTTTTTCAACAGTAAATTATCAAAATGAGTTCACACTTTCTATTTATGTTTAGATGTTAAAGAAATACATATTATGCGGAAAATTATAAAGACTTTAAAGTAAATGATACCTATCTTCGATTTCTCTACTTAAAATTTTTATTAACTTTTTAAATATATAAACATTTTATATATAAATATAACTGGGGGCTGAAAATACATAAAAGAAAATCTGACTGGTTGGTTGTATACCGTACTTTAAACAAACGTATAGTAAAAGCTAAAAAAGCCAAATGGTATTTAAACATTATTTTAATAAAAAAAAAATTATTTCAAGCTAATTACAATTTAATTTTTTAACAGAACTTTTTCGGCCTTTAGATTACATTTTAAATGTCTTTAGCCACTGGTTAACAATTTTTTTTTAAGAAATTAAGGCTTCCTGTAGAGTTATTGATTATAACAGCTGAACACTGTAAAGGCTATAGCTATACTATCGACTATGAAAACGATAGGTATATCTATTTAGTAAGCGTATGGCTACATCACAGCTAAGGAAATAACATCCCTTAATTTTTGTAAACAAATTTTAAGTTAACAAATATGTTCAAATAACTCTTTGGTTTCCACTAGGAAATCGATTGCCACTGTAGAATCTGATCCTCCAGATATTTAACCATTTATCTTACAGCACCGCAATCGCAATTTGGAGATGGTATTTTTTTCTATCTGAGAAGTAAATCGAAGCACCTACCATTACTGGTTATTATTCTATTTAGTGTGGCCCACATTCGTCTTGTTTGGTGGAACCCGCTCGCTGGCTTGTGATACATAGTATATTCTAGGTAACAGACGGAGCATTCTTCTTTCAATTCTCTCGCTAACAGTTGGTTATCTTGAAGTTTTTTTTAGTTAAAATTATTTTAGGGTCTAGAGGGTAGTTTCTTGAGTGAAGCCTACTTATGTCTCTATCGGTGATACTAATTTGAAGATATTCTATACTATAATAAGAGCTTATTCTCGCCTAAGGGGTCTATATGGCACAGTGGCACAGGCGAAATAACTATATTTGAACTTGAAACTACGGCGTAATTCGACAAAATTAACAATTTGCAGGATGACATAATCATTAGTCATATTGTGGTACAGCAAAATTAAAATTTAAGGACAGTTTTGACAAAAAAAAAATAAAACGTTACGTATTTAGGCGAACATTGTAGACTAAATACAACATCTATAGCATTATTTGCAGCATATTTTTTAGATGACGAAATAATGTACCTCTACTAATAAACGATTTAATACCTGGACTATTATGGTCTTATTTTGTAGAATGTAGGAATTAATTAAAGCCAAAAACCACGGGATCCAATCCTGCAGATCTCACGAATTTCGTTTTGCACCGGGAGTGAGCGGCTCCCAATATAATTGAATTAAGGATTGTCCCAGAAACGTTCAGGAACATATTGTTTCCTTCGGGACATCACAAAAGAAAATGAAATATTACGTTTATCTTTATATAATAATAAGCAAATTTTGTAAAGTAGACGTCTAGAACCTAATTTCGGCGATATTGAAATGAAATTCAATTTTCGTTATAGGCCACGGGTCGGAAATTACAAAAAGAAAACTTTATGAAATTCTGAATGAATTAAGACGAGGCGTAAAGGGCGAGAATCTCAGTTAAATTCGTTTGGCATCATAAATGTTTCATATTTTTATAAATTATGGCGAGGGAAGATACATGTGGGAATTGTACTCTCGTTGGATCAGTGTTTAAAAGCAAATAGAAATAATTTAATTAGAGTCCGAAAAACAACGAATTTCACGGTAGAATCACACAACTGCGTAATGTTTTTGATATGTGCAAACAACACAGTTATATTTTTCATTTATAAGTTAAACATATGATAATTAAAAAAGTTTTTAACAGTGCTGTTCAAATTATACTTTGAGTTTTTAAACATTTTTACACAGTTATACATATTGTTAAACTCCGTTTTAATCACTTTAATTTAAAAAAGCAAACCATATTACGGTACTTGTTAACAACAATGACAGAACTATTCAAACACTCAATTCCATTATTCTACCAAATAAAAAATTGAATTAGTCATCAAAAGTCGTGCGTCGTAACTGGTCAAAACTAGTCGAAATCACGTGTCAATCATGAATTCTCGAAAATTTTGAATTCGATCATTGCTGGCGAGTAAGAAAATATGTTTTCTTGTTAATTATAACAATAGAATATCATATTTCTACTTATAAATAATACAGTAGATGTAGTTTATAAAATAAGTTTTTATTCCCTAAATGGATTTTATAGAGTCGCGGATAATTCGCCCGCGAACGGGTAATCGACTGTATACATAAATAAGTTAACTGTTTAAATTACTATATTTTTTATTTTACAAATATCTTTAATTATTTAGTCTAACAATAGAAAGAGCACTAGCAACCACAGATGTTTTTCTGGACCTCATGTACACTCTTTTTCTTCTTGATGTGCTTATCCGTTACGAATGTTGGGAATCATCATGGCAATCTTTATCTTATCTGCAGCAACGCGAAAAAGCTGCACATATGTTTTATTGAGCCAGACTCTGAGGGTTTTTAATAGAGATGTTCTTCTTCTTGTCTGAAGAGTTGTAACTTTCCAGATTTGATGAAGATATCTCGGTTCTTATTCATTCTTTTGATGTCCTCCCCATTTGTGACTCGGTCAGTCTACGGTATCTTTAGTATTCTCCGATATAGCCATATCTCAAATGCTTACAGTTTTCTGCACATATCTTCGTTTAAGCTCCACGATTCAACACCATAAAAAAGAACAGAGAAGACGTACAATCTCAGCATTCTTACTTTTTTATCAAGAGAGAGGTTGTGACTCTTGAAGAAGGCCCCCATCCGGGATCTAGATTTTCTGATGCGTACTCTAATATCCTGGTTGTTGGTCCATTCTTCATTTATTATTTACTGTTTCTTAACCTATTAATATCATTTACCACTTCTTAACGTTTACATTGAGTCCATATCCGCTGTAATACGTGATTTTGTTCATAAGAACTTGCAGGTCTTTTAAGTTGTCTGCAAATACTATGGTGTCATCTACATATCTAATGTTGTTTATACGGTAACCATTTAGTAGAATACCTCTTGCAGTTTCATGCAAAGATTCAATAAATATTCTTCTATATACATAATGACTTCTAAATACAAGCCAAAACATGTTTATTTGGAAAAAGTTATACATTGAGTCATGCATTTTAGCAGTAAATTAAACAAAAGGCAATTATCAAGATTCGAAGTTTATTTCTAAAAAAAATATTGTGTCAAATTTAAATCTAAGTCTTACAATAACCGAGATAGTCTATTTAATAGCAGACAGAGCAAAAAGACACAAACAACAGATGAATCAACAGTTAAATCAGCAGCTAAATCAGCCATTGTTATAACTGCTATATATGTTCTTTAAACTAATATTTATTTCTTTTGAAAGACTTATTGTTGCGAAGAATAAAGGTTTTTATAAAAAATAATCATACCGATAAAATAATCAGATAACACAGCTCGGTACGTTATAGAATTATTTGCCTTAGTTGTAAACTAAACGAAAATATGTCTTGTATGGGGTTAACGCATGTACAAAGGGAAATATTATTGACCTTGTGGAGCAAGGAATGTCTCAGATAGACATAGCGGCATTGGTAAGTGTAATACAGGGCGTTGTGTCAAAAAGTTATGCTGGTTAACAGTAAGTAGTAAAGTTTAAGAATGGAGCAAGAATAGAGTAATCAAGAGAGAATAGAAATTTCTGAGTTACCAAAGACTCAATCTGCAAATCCGATATTGTATGGTAAAATGTTATATCCACTATATTCTTTTTTAAGGTATCG